GATAGATAGATAGAGATAGATAAATAAATAGATAGATAAGTAGATAGGTAGGTAGCTAGGTAGCCAGGAGGTAGCCAGGTAGCTAGGTAGCTAGGTAGCTAGGTAGCTGGATAGCTGGATAGCTGGAGAGCTGGCTAGCTAGATAGATAGATAGATGGCTAGATAGATAGACAGACAGACAGATACATAGATGGATAAATACATAGATACATAGAGAGAGAGAGAGAAACATGTATGCATACGTATCCACATGCATGCACTTGCTGTGCACATCTTCGGTTGCTTCCAGTACATGTCGGTTCTTGTTTAGTATCCGATAACTCTGTGCAAACTTGTCACTTGTCTTGGTTGCATCGATGCTGGGTTTCCCACCAGCTGCCATCTCCTTTTAACCACTCGCAGAGTATTCGCACCTGAGGCGTGTAGGTAGCTCTCCCCAAACGGGAACCTTTACACGGCAATTGGAAAGGCGTGGAAGCCTTCCTGCAAAACCAATCTTGGAAATTCCTGGAAAGTCTATGAAGCGTTGCGCTTTTTGCTCCAGGCGCAGCGAATGTCTAAGGCATCTGGGCCACTGCAAAACCAGAAAAGGAAATTGCAGACTCACGGCTGGAAGTCCACATCTAGATTCTAGTCCCAAGTCCGCAGGTCCTGTAGCGTCTATACTTGTGAAGTGTACGCTACTGGACCCTATTCCCTAAACCGCCGGACCCTGGAGCAAAACCCAACGTCTCCCCGCGGCACCTTCGGCTATAATTTAGGGGAGGTTGAGTGACGAGGGTTTAAGGTATCCCCCTTCGACTGTAGCCTACTGTTACCCTGTACTCCGCAGCTCAGCGGCATGCCGCTAGCATCTCACGAGATATCTTCGACCTCAGGACACCTCACATCCCTAAACCCTAAACCCTAAACCCCTAAACCCCTAAACCCTAAACGGGGATGTTTGCAGTTGAAGAGCTGCCACTTTGGGCGCTTACGGGCGATCCCTCAAGGCCTGCTGTTTGCGATGCCCGTAGATTCCTGCTTTCAAAAGGACCTAGCTGCAAGCTAAAATGGTAGACTTCTACAAGACTGACACTACTACTTGTTGATACTGGTTCGCTTCAGGGCACCGCCAACTTTCTGGATGAGTAGGACTACCACGGGACATTCCATCGCAGCGCTGCCTGAGACTTGGACTACGTAGACTCTTTTCTGAGGTCTGTGTCACACTCAGACTCAGAGATAGGAGAGCAGAGCTGCGCCAGCAAATCCAAGCCAGCAGCAACAGACCAACGCCTGGGCTGGCTCAGTCCTAGCAGAACCAATCACACAGACCAGTCCTAGCACTCTAAACAAGCAGGCTTCGGAACCCAAGGGTTTCGGGAAGATCCGATGACGTTCTAATGGCCTGCGAAAAAGATGCTGGTGAAATAAGGGTCAGCAAAAACAGCGGACGATAGACTCTATAGACGCTCTGAACTCCAGAGGATTTAAATGACTGGGAATCGCACCACGGCTGCTACCTTTCCGCCGCAGAGTCTCTGAACAACTTCACTTGCGTGGAGATCCTGCCCAAGCAGCTTAGCACCCAGGACTGAACAGTGGGGCATGGCGAGAGATGATTGCGCTGCAGCTACAACAAGGTAGTCAAGAAATCCTGTCAGTCCAAGACGCCACACTTCCAACAGCCTAAAACTCCTGCATGACTACGGGCATGGCTTCCTGGTGGCAGCCTTTTGCAATTACGGCGAGAAGTTTGGGGCTTTAGGGGTATCCATAATTTGCGATCTCTTCAGGGTGCGGACGTGCCTCGTCCTCAGCAGCCACGGCTGTGCCCTGTAGGGGGTCCTGCTGGTCTCTTCGCAATATCTCGGGGTTGTACAAAAACTCTGTGGTAGGTGGGTGGTGGGTGCGAGGTTCGACCCAAGACATGTATCCCTGGGTCAAGGTCTCTACACACTGCCAAGCTCTTAACCCTTGCTTCTTCGTTTTAAGACAAACTGGGGCTTCGGGTTGCCACCGATGCTGGTCTCCTTCTTGTTGCTGTTGTTGTTGGGGGTGGTGTCGGTGGTGGCGGCGGTGGCTTGGCGGTGGCGGTGGTGGCGGCGACAGTGGCCGCCGTTGTCAGTGCTATCGCTGTTGTCGTTTTGTCGTCGTGGTCGTTGTTGTTGTCATCGTCGCTGTCGCTGGTGTTGTAGTTGTCGTCGTTTTTGCAGTTGCCGTTGCCGGTTCTGGTTTCGGATGATGATGTTGACGAGCACGATGATGATGGTGGTGGTGATGATGAGGGTGGTGACGATGGTGGTGGTGATGGTGATGATAATGATGGTGATGATGATGATGACGATGATGATGATGATCATGATGATCATGATGATGATGATGATGATGATGATGATGACGACAATGATGACGACGACGGTGATGTTGATGGTGATGGCGATGGTGATGATGATGTTGACGATGATGGCAGTGGTGGTGGTGATGGTGGTGGTGATGATGATGACGATGACGATGACGATGATGATGATGGTGGTGGTGGCAATGGTGATGCTGATGATGAGGCTGATGATGGTGGTGGTGGTGGTGGTGGTGGTAGTGGTGGTAATGATGGTGAAGGTGATAGTGATGGTGATGGTGATGGTAATGGTGGTAATCATGGTGATGATGACGGTGGTGGTGATGATGGCGATATGGTGATGATGCTGATGGTGATGATGGTGATGATGGCAATGATGGTGATGATGGTGATGATGGTGATGATGGTGATGATGGTGGTGGTGATGGCGATGGTGATGGTGATGCCGATGATGATCATGACGATGATGACGATGATGATGGTGATGATGAAGACCATGATCGTGGTGATACCGGCAATGGTGATGATGATGGTGATCATCATCATCACCACCATCACCATCATCATCATTTGTCATCATCAGAATGAAAGTGATCTTGTGGTATTGTCATTGACCACTAGAGATGACTACGTTGTTGAGCTGGTGTTGGTGGTGATGTTGAGGACTATTGTTGTCAAGGTGGTTAACTATTGAAAACTTTTGTTGTTCTGCTGTCGTGGCATGCCGTGTTGCTGGTGGACTCCATTTCGGCCCCCGTCGGCTTAAATTTTAAGAAGATGAAGGCCGCTACACTTCGATACAGCTGTTCCTCTCGCTTAGCCCATTCCGACGAATCATGTCCGGCTCGGCTACGACTGTGAAATGCTGCTACTACCTGCTTGCCATTCCTGAGCTCGTTGCCGAATCTTCGAGGGCAAATACCTGCAAGACTATCTATCATGTCATTCTTCAAGTCATGTGTGCTGTTTTTCAACCGGCTGTGCTTTCAATGTGGGCGTCAAGAGCCCGTCCTTTCTCAGCCGCCCTTTCCAAGTGCTTTCGACCCACGAAATGCGCCCTCAGAAGCCCTCAACCCAAAACCCCGTAGCCATAGTGGTCCTTCGAGCTCGCATAGTCAGGCGCCATGGCTCCGACCCAAGATGAGCCAAAACGCAGCACAGAGCGGAGGAGAGGCTGGAAGTGGCCTTCGGTTCCTGACATTCCAGCTTAGAAACTGGAAGCTGAAGGCTTATAATGCAACCTTCACGCTTCAGGGCATTCGGGTTTCAGCGTTCAGGACTTTACAGCTAATGCTGAAAGCTTCCGGTCGCGGACCAGAACGAGCAGCAAAGATGACAAGATCGAACAAAAACCGGAAAGACTGCCAGTCGCGTTCAGCTCCTTGCTCATAACCATAGCCAGACTCGTACTGAGGTGATGAATCTGGCTGTGGCTACCGATAGGTCGTGCTGCTGATATTGCGATTGTCAGTATCTTGTCGTCGTGATTTGCTGTTGGTAGAGGAGTTGCTATCTCTCTTTTCTAATCATGCTGTTCGTTCGTGTCTGCTGCTTTCCGGGTCCTGCTGCTGCTCCTGCTCCTGCTGCTGCTGCTACTGCTACTGCTGCCTACCCAGACGACGACAACGACCGCTGCTCCCACTACTCCTACCGCTTCCCCGCAGATTACCAGCCCTGTCATGGTGCGACTGCTAGACAGACGGCTACTGCCTGCTTTTTCATGTCTGGGGCCGGCACCACGCAGTCAATGTTCAACACCTGAGTCACGGTTGGTTGGGATGATGCATTGACTAAAACTCTTCGTCTATTCAGAGCTTCGGAGCCTGTGTTCTAGTGTCTAGTGCTGAACCACCGGAAAACCCCGCAGACTCGAACCCTGCAAAGTCTTCGCCTGAACGCCGACACCCCAAAATCCCGAACCCTGACCCGGAGCTAGCCTGGCCGAGGCCTGTACGAACCTTAAACCCTCGAAAGTACTGAAACCCCAAAAAACCTTGAAGCTCTGAAGTTAACACGACAGGATTTAAGGGTTTGTCATTTTTGGGAGAAAATTGCCCCGAAAAGCCACGCAACACCCAAATTCACGAGCATCGCTGTCTTCGACTCAGGCACCGGGCAGCAGCCAGATGGGCCAAAGCGCTTCAGGGGCAGCTTGCGGAGCCTTCCGGAATGCTTTTTGAAGCCCCTGTAGAACCCCTGTAAGTGCGGCATGGATGGGCCACTTTGAATAGCAGCTTTGGAAGAAAAAATATACCTGGTCCGGTGGAGATTTTTCTCCCAAGAACCGAGTTTAGGGAGTTCAGGTCACGGGTTTGGAGCTGAAAGGTCTATGATCACCCATAAGCTCGAAACCCTACATCCCAAACTCTAAACCCCCAGAACACCGAAGACCTCAAGCATCCTACCCGTTCACAGACGAGGACGGATGAGAAACCGAGGCGCTTCGTGGCACCCTGGTCGACGGCTTGCGAGCGACTCTGCATCTTCTTCACCTGGTTGTGAGATCTCAGTAGGAGTTTAGGATCTACCGAATTGTTTGGGTTCGGGTCTCGGGTCTAGGGCTCGGCACAAGAAGCCCCAAGCCAACCAGTGTCGATTCCGAGTGGGGTCGGGGTCACTAGGAGTTGCTCCGAGAATTGCGGCCTAGGAATTACCACAACCCTCTCAGAGCCGGGAAGAAAAGCACAAAGAAAAAAAGACAGCACCAGTACAGGTATCACTTAGATCGGGACGATAAAGGTATACTTTCCGAGGCATTCAGACCCTTATAGGAAGTATCCAGCAGCAACAGTCATCACAACACCGCTGCCAACACCACCCCACGACCGAGACCCGCACCAACACCGTAACCTGCCGCAACCACTCATCGTCAATGGTCATCGTGACCGAACTTATGATAACTGACAGTTCTGGCTCGCATGATCAAACTCCAGCCGTCATGTAAGCAACCTAAACAAAGCAGAGGACCAAACAAGCGGAAAGGGGTCATTGTCAGAATAACAAGAGTGAACATTTTCGTGAACATAAGAACAAGAACAAAACACAACAAGATACAGCCGAAGGCTAAGACTAGGACTGGGACCAAGCCGAAGAATAAGGCAGGGACTCAGAAGAAGAAAGAACAAGAAAAGACAAATAATGATAAGGCAGCGCGTGACAAAAGGCAAAGCCCTCAATACTGAAGCTCCCAAATTTTCAACGCCGCGCAGCGGAGCGATCGACGATACCACCGACCACGTACACCTCCTCCTCCAGCACCTCCAGCAACTCCTGGAGCTTGACATTGTACGGCTTAGGGGTTCTGTGGATGCGGTACACAGGGGAGCTTGCGATGTCTCAGGCTCATGAATGCAACACCACATTTCCACACGCACACAAAGAGATCGAGCCCGGGCTCTGTGGTTTGACGTTCAAAATGTTGGGGCTTCAGGATTTTGGCGTGGGCGCTAGGTACTTGGGAATTGGGATCGAGGACCTACTGTGAGCCTGGCGGTTTGCAAGTCAAAGGCCTGTCGGGGCACAAGATTGCAAGGACTCGGAGGCTGAAGAAGGTTTCTGGTGCCTTAAAGTCTTAAGCTTCAAAAGATATTTAGGGTTTATTCGGCTTCTAATTTGAGGAGGGATAAACCCCAAACGCTGCACCCCTAGAGCCCTAAATGCCCCCAACCCCGTGTTTTGTGGGGACGAAGGGCTCCTCCTCTGCATCCGGCGTCAAGACGACAAGGCGGCCCTCCCTCCCAAAGCAAGGCTGAAGGGCTTCTCATGACAAGAAGTTTTAAAGCGTTTAGGGTTTCGGGTAGAGGGGCTGCAGACATCTCACGATGTTCAGGGGTCTTCTCTAATCAAGCTTTAGGGATTCCAGTGGGGGCCTCTAGTTGCGGATGGTCCGAAACGAGCCGGCCTGGCTTCGGTCGCGAAGACATCCCAAACAGATTCCTCGTGGAGGTGCAGCTTCCAGCTCTTCATGCCCTGCTTCTCAAGGGACTGAATCACAGGGTTCTGCGAATGGAGCGAGGTGATGTGCAGCTGCGCTTTGGAGTTCGAATCACGTGCTTGCGTGTAGGACAGCTGCACCTGCTTGGCTAAGGATGTGAGCTCCCGCACGTCCATCGTGTCACTGAAGCTGCAGTTGATGACGATGCGAGGACGACCATGGTGGAAAGAATAGTCCAGCGTCGCTTCTATGGCCGCCTTCCTCTCTCTTCCGGCCTGCCGCCGAGGGTTCAAGCTAAAGAAACCTCTAAAGCCTCTAAAGCACCTAAACCTCAACCAGAGTGTCTCTGTTCTATCTACTGCAGCTTGAAGCGACCATGAACACGCGAACAATTTGGCAAGGAGATTGGTCGTCAAGTCCCCAAACGGGGCAACTAGCGTCTCATGCGGCTAGCTGTCACTGCATCCGGGGTTCATCAACTCCAACTGCGGGTTGCCGAAAATTGGGGTACCTTATTTTGGGGTCCTTATATTAAGGATCCTATTATTTAGGGTACTATATTAGGGGACTTTTCGGAAACTCCCAACTCGGAACCAGCCCTGCTGTGCCGAAGCCTCGCGCTCCTTCTCCAGGAACTCCGCTCGCTCCGCTGCGCTCATCGACTCCAGATGCTCCTGTCGCAGCTCCTGCTTGCGCTGCTTTTGGGCCTTCTTCTTCTGCTGCCTGCAGTCTGGCGTCCAACGATGCACCTCTCAAATCTTTAAAACCGTCTTGTGGGTTCTTCGAACGACGCCAGACTTCCCCCAAGCCCAAACCTCCACCGAGTGAAAGCCTGGACTTTCCTGAAGTGTATGATACTATGAGCCGAGCAGAAACCCGAAACAATGTGCCTAAGCCCCAGAGCTTGCAATCCTAAACCCAACACCTCGTACCGTAAAGCCCAAAATAGGAGCCACATAGAGCTTCTTATTTCCTGGCCTCTGCTCCTTGGCGTGCAGCCTCTTCTGCTCTTTTAGCTCTGCTTTCCGGAGCCGCTTCAGCTCGCTTTTCTGCAGAGGCGGAGATGCCCCCTGCGCCGGCTTTAGGGCTTAGGGCTTAAAGTTCTTTAAAGTTTAGGGTACAGGACTTAGGGCCCTCGGATCGAGGGTTCATGGTTTCGGGGGGTTTTTTAGAGGGTTTGAGATTGCTTTTGCTTGATGATCGCCCCTTTTTGTTCTCCACAGAATTCACCTTGGATTGAGAGCCAGCTTTTTCTAAAATTTCGGGCTTAGAGTTTGGAGTTAGGCCAGTTGGGGGTTCACTGCGCGGTGCTTGAAGGGCTTGGGGCTCAGGGCTTAAAGAACTGGGGACTTAGTCGGGAAAAGGGTTTCGGCCCATTCTACTATATTTAGAAAATGGAAGCCCCAAGACATCTCGCTTACGCGCAAGAAGAAGAAACTTTTGGATGCGTAGCGGCAGGCGGCGAAATGCAACCGATCTCAGCCATCGTATCGAAACGTCTCAGACGCGATCGATGCGAGGCGGTGCGAATCACC